GGAGAAAGGGAGGAGAAGGGACTCTGTCATGTCCATGTCCCACTGCGGGGTCCTGTCTCCCTTCTCTGTCTGTCTTCTCTCATTGGGAAGTGTGCACATACCTAGGCAATTCAAAATAATAACAACGGTAACAATAACAATGATAATAGTGGGAAAAGTCCAAACATGGGGCATTGGGACCAGCAGATGGCATAGTGCTTACATCGCTGGACTCCCACCTAGTCAACCATGGTTCAAGTCCTGGACCCAGTGACTTAAAACTCATTCCAGGCCTGTGTGCATGCATCCCCAAGATCTCAGGAGGAAAATGGTGGAGAAGGGATTGCACTGTGACCATCTTCCCTGGGGGGTGATTTCTCACTTTCTCTCTCTCTGGTTTTGTGAACACACATGCCCTATAACAAAAATCTCTCTCTTAACATAAAAAAAAAAGGAAGAAAGAAAAAGAAAAACACACTGGGCATGTGTGTGTGCATGTGCCAAATACCATGGCCATCTCCCTTAAGGGGTGATTTCTCACTTTCCTTAATCTCTCTGTCTCTTCAGTGAGTACATATGTCCTAAAGCAAAAAAAGAAAAAAGGAGGGGGTATAAATACTTCTTTTATGAAAGGTGGTAACTTTTATTAATATTTAAATGATCTCCTAAGGATAATTAAGGTAAAATATTGTTTCTAAAGAATTTTAAGATTGTCAAAAACATTAAAAGAAATTACAGTCACATAATGTATTTTAAAGAAGTGGGGCCAGCAGGTGGCGTGGTGGTTAAGGTGCTAGACATTCTCACATGGCCAACCACGGTTCGAGTCCTGGATCTGGTAACTTGCTTTCTCACTTTCCCTCTCTCTGTGTGTCTGTCCTTCTCTGGTCAAATTAAAATAAATGAGTAAATAAATAAAATTAAATAAATAATTCTTTTTTAAAATGTTGAAAAATAAAGTAGTGGGGTCAGCAGGTGACATAGTACTTAAGGCGCTGGACTCCCACATGGCCAACCAGTTTGAGTCCCCAGCCTGGCAGCTTGAAACTCACACTGCGTGCATGTGCATGCATACCACATCCCAGGAGGATGACCTAAGGGCCATATCTCATCAACTTAGTGAATTCTTTTTCTTTTCTTTTTTTTTTTTTTTTTTTTTGAGGGGTTTTTGCCCAAAAGCGCATCGCCCCCCCCG